ATCCTTCTGTCTCTACCCTCTTCAGTGCCAAAGGCAAGACTCCAGCTGACTTTGCTAACGTATGAAAAAATATAGTTGGTTTTGCTGCGCAGAGCTGCTGAGAGGTGCAGTGATGTATTGTGATAACGATGGTTTGTTTTTCTGAAACGGCAATTTGCATAATCCTTTCTCTGTCCCTACCTTAAGACAGTATTAGTGTGGGTATGTCAGCCGAGGGCGAGCAGCACTGCGCATGTTTTAGGATAACATTACTCTGGAAAAAACTTGGATTATCGCCCTTTTGAAATGTCAGAATGCAGTGTTTGGGCATTAAGTTGAGAGGAGGATTCCAGGATGATCCGCAGAAGACTTTGGAGGAGAAAGGAGTATTAGATAGGCTCCAGCTCGTTCAGGGTAGCTTTCCTAAGCTCCCCTGTATTCCATGGGAAGAGAACAGTCCTTCCACAGTTTTGGAAAAGGAGTCTGAAGTCGCCCTTTGCGAGAGGTTCTTTCTTGTCCATGGAGCCCATGGAGCCACAGTTTTGTTGAGCTAAGGATGGCATTTTTGAGCCCCTGTTGTCCCAACTGGAGATAGGTTGATGCCCTGGAGTATAAAAGGGTCCCTGGAGCTATTAGAGAAGGAAGATATCACTGCTAAGAACAGGGTGGCCTCTCCAATTCTTGTGGCGGTTTGGTCGCTTATTAACTGTGACGTGTGAAATCCCCATCAAAATCAATGGTAAAACTCCCCCCGATTTCATTAGAGGCAGGGTTGTCTTTCTCTGCTCCCTTCAGAAAGGAGGCAGCAAAGCTGTGTGTGTTTACTGACTCTCTGATCCTCTAGCCTGTTTAATGTCCTAGTGAGAACTGCGTCTATCCGGGCCAGCTCCACACGCATTTCAGCCCCCTCTCCTGAAGACTGTACTTCTTCCTGGGTATCTGCTGCCCTTGAGTGAAATCGCCTGCCAACATTGCCTCCGTTGACTCAGTCAACCACTGTTATAATCATAGAGAGAAATTACAGTGAGAGAAATTATAGCTCTTTCTGGCTTGGTGACTTGGAAGCCAGCTGCCTTTTGAACTTGACTAGCAGTTATCCTAATAACATGGAGAATGTACACTGGGGATATGAGCCTTTGTATCTTGGGAGGTTCAGAAAATGAAGGGGAGCTTCACATGGGCTGCGGTCTGCTTCCTAATGCCTTACCCTGCTGTGAGAGACAGCTTGTGTGCCGGATGGCAGAGGTTTTCAGGAGCGTGTTAGCTGCTCAGCTACAATCAAATTGGGAGTGAGTTGACACCAGGTCTCCTGGGTCATCTTGAAGATCACCACCTAGCTGGAAGGAGATGTTTCCAGTCTAGCGTGCTTCATCACCTCTTGGTTTTCGAACTGAGTATGACTTGGGAGAGAATGGAGCCGCCGTAAAGGAGATCAGCGTCTAAACTGCAGCGTGAGCTTAGAACAGGGTTTAGAAAAGGGTTAGGCAGTGTTCTGGGGCAAGGGCAACTTGGCATGGGGTGGTATTTAGACCCACTACTGAAGACTAGATCGTATTCTTCGTTCATTCTTCTTCAGGTTGACAGA